AATAATAATATCCTCTCTCTCTCCCTCTCTCCCTCTCTCCCTCTCTGTGTTTTGTTTTGTTTTTGTTTTGCCACTTCTTCATTTGAAAATGAGGGCTTGAATCTGCTGCCAGTCTGGTGCGCTTTGAAAGGATTCAGCTGAGAGTTGAGCACAGGTGAAGCACCAGCAATTGAAGCTGGGAGCTCTCCCAGGTCCTGAATAGGCCAGCCTTGCTGGAAACAACCATCACAAATCTGTTGACATCAAGCACGCAACCTCCTATCAGGCTCAACCTGTGCCTAGCAACCTGTGGACTACCAACCTGGCTGGTAGTTTCAGGGTTTGAAAAACGATCCCAGAGCTGCTTGTTCTACACAAGTTACAATTACCAAATACAGGAGATTTAGTTCTAAAGAAACAAACAGGGAGAGGGAAGGGATCTACTTGCCAGATCCTACTTCAGAATCAGTAAACATAATACTGTAAAATAGAGAGAGAGAGAGAGAGACTGGCTGAGGGAGAGAGATTTTGCAACTTGAGACATTCCAGTCTATCAGCACAGCTTCTTGCCATTTCTGTGACTTAAGTACCCTGCCCTATTTCACAACTGTAACAGTAGAACAATTGTATGAGAGCTAAGAAGTATAAGAGTTCCTGATAATAGATCAGGTGAGGAAGATGGAAACAGAATGAAACAGGGAGCTGTTTCCCTTTCTGCTTGATATCCACCCCTCCCATTCCCTCATTGGGGTAGAGCCTGGAAAGTTGCTTTGAGAAAAATGCTCATGATGACATGCCGAAGCTCTCCATAGCTAAGCACTGGCAGGAGGAGGATGCTCAAGATCCCATCCTCCCACACCACTGCTTGGTTTTGAAAGGCTTCAGCATCTCTTTGTTTCCATTTGTCTTCAATGTCAACTTTCGCACTCTGATGAAATCAACAGCAATCAGACCAAGTGGGTGTCCATTGAAATCTCCAGCACAGCTAGTCTATGTGAAGAATTTACTTGCTTAGTTACTGTTTCAACAACTAATGGGAAGAGTACAGAATGTTTTATAGCATAGCACGCAATTCCATCTTTTCTGGAAGGTCCTGAGGCACAGGAAACACCGGGACTTGTATCTTTTCTCTAAGAGTTCTGAGACACATAAAGCTTTGAGCAGACCCATTATCAACTCAGCTCATATGATCCTAGTGGAAAAAAAACAGTGAAAGATCTGGAACTGAGCTGCAGATATTGTCAGTGGGTGGTGGCTCCTTGATATCCCAGTCTTGTGAGACAGAACATCATCTTCACTTCTGGATCTGCCTTGCAGTAGATTGCTTCTGAGAATTCATCTTATCCATTAATTTGTTCTATAACCACTGTAGTCTGTAGCCTGAGACATGCTTTTTGTAGATCTTTGAGTTTGGAGTCTCTATCTTGTGGGTCTGAGAGGATGCAAATGCATCTGAGGGCTTGGCTATAAACTATGGATTTTGTTGTGATCAGGATGGAAGCTGGAGGCATGCACGTAGGTATATCAATCAGTTGGTTTTTGGCATTCCATAGTGCTAAGATGTCCGCATTGTAGCTTCACAGTGGAATCAAGAAAATGCATCTGTTGTGTGGATTGGTCCAAGCTAAAGTTGATGTACAGATGAATACCATTGAAATCTGGTGGAATTTGTAGAGAAATTCTAGGGCTTCCTTTCCAGAAAAGAAAAACCATCAAAGGTGGAATAGTTGTGTGTGAGTATGAAGTTGCAATGGGTGGTAATTACGTGTGCTTCATCCTTAGTCTGAACACTATTCAAATGGACAACCAGTGGTCCATCTCTGGATGGGATGTTGGTATAGAGAACTTCTACATCCATCATAGCGAGGATGTTGTTGTCAAGGAAGTCATGAGTGGAGTGAGGTTTCCTTAGAAAGTCTGTGGTATCTCTTATGTAACTAGATGCACTGCATTATTTGAGAACGGAGTCCATATATCCAGATATCCAAACAGTGACTGTAATAACGCTTGATACAATCAGCCTACCGGGGTTTCCTGGTCTGTGTATTTTTGGTAGAAGGTAGTAGGTGGCTAGCTGAAGTTCTTGCAATGTATTCCTCAGGATAATCCAGATATCCAAACAGTGACTGTAATAATGCTTGATACAATCAGCCTACCGGGGTTCCCTGGTTTGTGTATTTTTGGTAGAAGGTAGGTGGCTAGCTGAAGTTCTTGCAGTGTGTTGCTCAGGATCTGTTCACATATATTTTCAGGGAAGTTTTTCATAAGGTTTTATAATCCAGAACATGGCCAAACAGCCTGAAAAACCCACAACAACCATCAGATCCCAGCCGTGAAAGCCTTCGAGAACACGTTTTATAATTCATTTTGGTATTTGGCAGTTGGGTCTATAGTTAGAAGTTGGTAAAATTTGGAACTGAATGATTGTTTCTCAGTTTCCTGAGATAATCATGACGCCCACTGCTCCTTTCAGAAGGCACCACTGACTTTAGAACTTTCCATGGACTCTCCCAGTACCAATTACATCCTGTACGTAATTTCTAAAAATAATGATGACAGCATGCTGGACTCTTCTGCTCTGGAAAAAACCTTTTCCCCAGCCTCTAACAGGCTGACTGTGGCTTCTTCAAGATAAGAAAAATGTACTCAACTCATGATCTTTTTGTTATCCAAGAATGAGCCCTGCCACTGAAAAACTGGTGTCTGGCCTTCCACATTTTAGGCCTGAGCCCTGGCAAACCATGACCTTCATTTATACCAAAATATGGGAGGAAGTTAAGATCTTGTGACATTTTGCTGCTCTGCTCTTTATTACTAATTTAAACACATTGTGCCAGACAGGATCCAAAAAGAGAATAAAGAAGGTGAAGCACAAAAAACAGGAGAACAAGCTATGGAGATTTCCCCACCATTTCCACCTTTGTACTGAGATGAGCTTCCTCCTAAGGATGACTTTCCTTTGGCATAAAAAGGAATTATTTATAGGAATTGACACCCTGCTTGCTTTGCAAGGGACTTTATAGACATGAGACACACACAATATGCACCACTGGTTTCTAAATCCTGTTAGGAAGATTAGTGCTCTAAGCCACCTCAAGGGTCTCTTTGTAACTGAAGTGGAAGTTAGAAATTTTAAATAAACATTTGACAATTAAGTCAGAGTGCTGTCCTCTGAAGAGGCCGGCCACAGAGACTGGCAAAACGTTAGGAAGTACAACCTTCAGAACATGGCCAAAGAGCCCAAAAAACCCACAACAACCACTAAACATGTTTACTCAGAAGCAGGCCCCATTGTGTTCAAAGGGTCTTATGCCTGCAACGGCTTTCCTCATCATAGTAGACATCCTTCAGTCTCTGGTAGAGACTATGATAACATGCTCTGAATATTAAATCAATACAGGATTATAGCATAACATGAGATTAATTTGCAAATACAGATTTCAAGATCTAAATAAGACAAACAGATATCAGTACCTTAAACACAATCAATGCAGTATTTGTTCTTCTGAATTCCAAGATTTAAACCACTATCATTTTATCAGTCACTCTTGATTCATTCCTTTTAAAATCTGACTTCATCTCCATATCTATCAGTACAAATATTGTTTCTATTCATGTTAAAATCCTGTATCTTTATTATCATCTTCTACACACACATACATAGAGAGACCTCTTACAATACACAGAGAGGAGGAGGGGAAGAGAGAGAAAGTAGCTTTGGATTGTTGCTAGAGATGGGCACAAACCACAGGTTCAGTGGTTCCCAGCCCTCTGTCCTCCAGTGGATGCCGCTTAGTAGGCAGCAGCCTGGCTTCCCTGCCCTGCCACCAAACACTTGTCCGTCCAAGCTCTAGTGGTTGCCAAATGAAGGTCTTTCAGATACCTTCTCCTTCTGTATCACCTATATTTTAAAAATCTGAATTAGGCTTTGGTTGAAACAGTTTGCAGAAAAGAACAATCTCGTTTACAGACATATTCACAAGCAGAAACAGTAGCATTTGATGAACCAATATTTGCTAGTCATCATGCGAAACAGGGCGTTATCACACAACAAGCCCTGATGGCAATGTCTAGAGTATATATATTTAATTGTATTTTATCTGATTTATCTTTTTATTGTATTTTACTTACTGTAAGCCACCCAGAGACCTTTGGGTAGAGTGGGCGGCATACAAGTTAGTTAGTTAGTTAGTTAGTTAGTTAGTTAGTTAGTTAGTTAGTTAGTTAGTTAGTTAGTTAGTTAGTTAGTTAGTTAGTTAGTTAGATGATAGATAGATAGATAGATAGATAGATAGATAGATAGATAGATAGATAGATAGATAGATAGACAGACAGACAGACAGACAGACAGACAGACAGACAGACAGACAGACAGACAGACAGACAGACAGACAGACAGACAGACAACCATCCCACCAGGATTTTTTAAAAGAACTGCATTGAATTATATTTTCTTATCCTTTGAAAACGCTAATGTATTAAGGTATAACAGCAAGACTGGAGTTAAGGTTAGGCTTTAAGGTACACATCCTGTATTTCCTGAACCCACTGAGAGTTCTGGCGGACCCCCGTCCCCGACTACTATAGGGCCCATCTGCTGACACCTGGAGCACATCACTCCTCCTTCTTGGCACCACAGTTCACTAAAAAAAATAGAATGGGATGTTTTTCCATTTTATATTCTGAGGACAAATGTATATAAAAAAAACTGTGACTGAATGGGACATTGCTATAACTCTTCAGGTTACAGTGTCCCAAAGTGCCAATCTTGCAGATCCAGGATTATGTGAGTTCTGCAACAAAACATCACTTCAGAGGACTAAAGTGTCCTGTCCTAATATATGAGAGTGAAGATTCTTTTGCAATCAAATGTTGGCATAGGAGAAGTTACTCCTCCTAAAGGATACTATTGCCACTCCACAGAACTCCAACGTTCATGGCCAGTGACTCATTACATATCACTAAGATAGCTAATAATTGGTTGAAGGAGAGAATTTCAGAATTACAGAGGGCTCCATGCTCTTAACAGCTGTACATTCTTTGGCTTCTTAAACTCCACACACATTCAGATAGTAATTCATATACAAAAATCACGTTTCTATTCTTTGCAGATTTGAAGGTGTTAGGTTAGCCTGTTGGTAGGTGAGTAGGAACGTGAACCAGGAGTTCTGCCAGAGAAGAAGTAGGAAGACTGGAGGTGAGAATAATAGGAGTCAAGCAGAAATTGGAAGCAAGGGGCAAACCAGAACTCAGTGCCACAGACAAAGCAAGAGTCATGTCCAGTACAAAGGGAACACAGGGTGTGGATGATCCTGCTCTCAGGAGAGTACTAACTCAAAAAAAGAAATACTTTCATGTTCCTTTCTGTTCAGCAGAGTTACAGTCATCAGCCTGAGCACTTGACAACTGTTTACAATCTGAGAAATGTAGGCAAATGCTCCAATCGACAGTTCAATGTACAGAAAGTGGCACTATTCCAGGAAGAGAGGCTAGGCTTTGTAGCAAGTGTAGCTTCCATACTCTCTTTCTAGTTCACTATCCACACACTTCTACTGTCTCTGAATATGTAAGAAGATTACCTTGTTGGAGTCTCCATATCAAGTATGACTCCTCTGAACTGCGCGTTTCTCCCCATTTCTCAACCTCTTCTGCACTGCCAGTGGCCATCATGCACTGTCAGAACAAGTACTCTGGGGTTGGATCGCATCATCTTGGAGAAGGTGTCGCCCTCTTAACCCACAATGCTGGGGCTCCTGCACACCTTGCCCAGTCATGCTGCGATTTTGCAACCCCTTCCCTTCCTCCCCAGCGCCACAAGGAATATGATATATATATCGGCCAGTATATTTTTACAGTTTCTTCAAAACGGACATCTACATGCAAACTTTCTCCAAGCAACCATGCTGGTCTTTCCATTCCCAAAGAATGACATGCAAGTAATGCAAGTGTCTTGCATGAACACCTCAGCTGAGGCCTGGCAGATGAGAGCACAGAAGAGACCAGCGCAAGCTGAGAATAGCATCTTATTCTGTGGCAAGGATGCACCGGATGCCTATTAGTCCACTCAAGCCCCCCCTACTCTTTAAAATATTGATAGGAAAGGTGGGGCCCTATAGTAGTTGTTAGACTTCAACTCCACTTCTCCCTCCCCAGTGACAATGCTGGTCAAGGTTCATAGGAATTTCATTCCACAATATCTGGAAGACCACCGGTTGCCCACCGCTGCTTTATGACCACCATTCACTCCTGCTTTTAGTTGCATAGCTTCTAACTCCACATTTCCTTCCTTTGAAAATTTTCCTTGTACATAGAAAGGATCACATACACTGAATCGTTCACCTTAAAATAAAGCACCAGAATAAGAAACCATTCTGTTAACAACAACAACAACAACAACAAAATTGCAAATCCAGAACTGGCATTTCCTTGGCAAAGAACCTGGGTGTTTTAGCTTTTGGCACTGAATATCGGTTTATATGGAAAACAAAATGCCTTCCATAACACCTGGAATCTTCTCTGAGAGAAGGCACATTTATTTCAATTCCTAAATGGTTAATCATCATTAATGACATGCTAGGGAAATGCCAAGAGAGAGAGAGAGAGAAAGGGGGAGGGCAGGAAATAACTGTCTCACCTTCCAGCTCTTCTGGTTCATAATGAGTCTTGACCACATTGCTGGTGCCCCCCTGATCCACAACAGCTTCATCCTCAGGTCTCTATTAAAAAATGAAAACAAAAGCAAAAAAAATAAGGAGGCATCACACAAGTAAATGTACGGAGAAATCTATACACCTTTACTAAATGTAAAGGAGGGGGGAAGAGGCTTGGCCAAATCTCTTTCTAGAACCCTTGGGTTTCTGGCTCATATTTATACATTTTTTTTCCTTTGCTGGATATTCATACACAACGCAGGGCTTACCCAAAGGGAGCCACATTTTTCCACATATTCTGACATGTACTATGGCTTATCCTCTGGATCTTCTGCAATATAGACAGCATTTGATATTTTCCAGTATTTTATGATTCCATAGTAATATCTGTTCCGGTGACATGGACGTACTGTAAGTAGCCACAGCGTGTTCTTATTTCTACTGCAGACTTTTCTTTTCTTTGCACTGATAATGATTCAACTGACATCAGCTCAGGAAGACCTGCTTCATCTACGGAATTGGGTGAGAGCATTTGCACTTTCTGGTTGCTAGGTGCTTGAGCAAGTTTGAACTTGTAATGCAGAATCAAGTCTACTCATTCTCCCACATGAAAGCTGCCTACACTATTCCACCCATACTTTTTTGGCTGAAGTATACACAGTTGTACTCTAGAAGAGGGCTATGGAAATCAGCATGCCATTTTAAGCATTTCCTTTGTCTGAAATGAAAATGGGGCTTCTGAAAAATGAAGCACTGTTTGCCTTTCTCATCACCTTACACATTTTTAGAGGCTCTCTCTCCAGGCAAATGAGTCATGATTCAGGATGGATGGATCATTCTATTTCTGGTCTGTGTCAGTATTACGTGTGTTCATTAAAAGTCTATTTTGTCCTTTTTCTCTATGAATAAGAAATCTGCGGGCATCTTCTTCCATAGAATACACTTTTCTAGACATATTTTAGCCACAGATACGTATTTCTAAATAGATTTTATCGCAAAATATATATTTTAAAATGCATTTTGGTACATTTGGGATTAAAGAACAGGATCATAAAGTTTGGATAAGTGCAAAACCCTAAGGATAATTAAATTCTAATCTGAACATTAGAATGGGAGTAGAATGTCCATCAATTTAGTTCAGATTGGAATTTGCAAGAATTGTATTCCTCGTGTATCACTAGAAATGATAACGACTGAAGTATATAAAAAGGTGATAAGTGGGCTGCTAAAAATTTCACATTTTTGCCAAACAATTTGTTGCAATTGTTAGCTAATGATGCCGTGTCTCTCAAAATTTCATTCTAAATAGTATTTTACATCTTGCATAGGCATTTTGGAATATTTTTAAGCCTAAAACATTCTCCCAAATCTTGTACCCAATACAATTGACTGAACTACCTTGCCTTTAATTCCTAGGCCCCTTTTAATGAAACCATCATGTTTACATCAGCTTCTGCCTCCTTCTGCTACCTGAACATAAGACAGCATGATTTGGCACTATTCATACTTCATCAAGAATGCTCCTCCTCATTGAACAGTTCAAACAGCACTAAAGTATAATCATAAGAATGGGAGCAATTACCACTTATATCACAAAACACTCATAACTTTCTAAAGCAGAGCTGGGCAGTACTGGCCCCACTAGATATTTGTTGAAATGCAACTCCTTCAGGGAATGATGGGGATTGTAAAGCCCCAATTTGACTGTCCCTCATCTAAAGTAGAGAGGAGTAGTGTTGGGGAGTGAGTAGGGATATTCCGTTATGCAACTCTCGAAGGGAAAAGTATTTTCGGATCTCTTTCCCAAGCAGAAAGGTTAAGGGTTGCCCAAAAGTACCTACTACTTTTCCCAGTCTCTTAGTGGTCCACAATTACCTATCCTACCAGTCGCTTGTCCCAGCTCCCGGTAATCTAGCGGTTCGAAAACATGCAAAATGCAAAAATGCTAGTAGATAAATAGGGACCACCTCGGTGGGAAGGTAAACAGCATTCCGTGTCTAGTCACTCTGGCCACGTGACCACAGAGGATTGTCTGCGGACAAATGCCGGCTCTATCAGTTGGAAACGGACATGAGCACCACCGCCTAGAGTCGGACACGACTGGACAAATTGTCCTTTACCTTACCATCTAAAATTACTCCCTGGGTGCTCTGAGGCTTTTTACACACTTTCATTGCTGTCTGGATGCAACATAGATATCTGGTACAATGTGGCGAAATGTCTTGCAGCTGCTGTTAAAATCAGTGAAAGGAAGGTTTTTAAAATTACTTGATTTTAGTTATTATTGGGAACCTGAAAGGAAGACTACGGTAATATAATGTATTACTTTGTTCGGATGTTTTTACCTTAGTACATTTTTTTATAAGTGTGTTTCACTGCTTTTTAACTTTGTAGTGTATATGTTTTTATACATGAGTTTTACTGTTTTTGTACATTTATTTGTATGTTTGGATATTGGTCTTTGACCATATTAAACTTGATCTGATTTGACCAACAAAAAAGACTCAGGAGTTGTAACGCAGATTCTTCCCTCCCCACCTTGTTCCAAAGGGCCCCAGAGGCCCCACACTGGCATACCCAGAAGGCCAGGAGCCAGGGGAGGAAGAGAGGCAGTGGGTGACTGTACTAACACCCACCAGACCCTTTGGAGAGGAAAAACAACAAAACATAAAAAAAGACAACATTGAGCCAGTGAGCCCTGGTGCTGGGTAGAAATAGGTTCCCAAACTCTAAAGCCATTATATATATATAAATTAATCTAGCCCATCCTCCAGTGTTGTTCACCCTGAGATGTCTTCCTAGCTGGAGACATAGAAAAGCACGTCCATTCAATGACACCCCACGACTTGGTGACCCTAAGGCCAAGACATTTTCTCAGCCTGAAGAAGAAATAGCTCAAGCCCATGTTAAAGCTGATATTTTAAAATGTCTTCCTGCCTTCACCTATTCCAGGGTTAAACAACTATGACAATCTAAACCCTTGAGAAAAGAAGACTGAGGGGAGATAGGATAACACTTTTCAAATACTGGAAAGGTAGACAGAAGAGGGGCAGGATCTGTTCTCAGTCATCCCAGAGTGCAGGACATAATGGATTCAAACTACTGTACATGAAGAGTGCAGGACATAATGGATTCAAACTACATGAAACCAGATTGAGGCTGAATATTAGGAAAAACGTTTTAACTGTTAGAGCAGTATGACAGTGGAACCAATTACCTTGGGAGGTGGTGACCACTGCAACACTGGAAGGCATTCAAGAGAGAACTGGACAACTATCTGTCGTATCTTCTTTGACTTTAATTCCTGCATTGAGCAAGACTTTGGACTTGATGGCCCTACAGGCCCCTTCCAACTCAATTATTCCGTGATTCTATAATCCAGATCCCCCATGACTAGATAGATACCTTCTCTTGATGCTGAGAGGAACAAATAAATTTAACCTTGCTGCATGGCAGTGGCAGCTGTCACCCAACCAAATCAACTGAAAAGCAGAAGCGGAATGCTCAGACAGCCTTGTAAAAATTATAAGGCATTCATTATTCAGCATATTATTTCAAAATCTGTACCCAGTGGGCCAACAAACAAACTTAAGAGCAGAAAAATATATAAGGTAAAATTAAGACTATCAAAGCTTGGCAGTGAATACTTAGAAGTGCATGTAACTATTTTAGCAACTTTTTCCATTTCTTGTCATTGATGTTGACTAAGAAGGGATTATTTCTGATCAAACAATTGGAAATGAGATGTATTTCCAACTCATGGTGCTAGCAATAGCCTGATAAAGCTTCTTTTGGTCTAACCCTGTAGCTTCCAGTCACTGTTCCTACCTCATTTTATCTGTGAAATGTCTAACATTCTTTCAAAGGAGAAGAGACTAATAGCTCCCACTTTCAAAAGACCAGCAGTTTGAATTCACGCGATGGAGTGAGGTCCCGTTGCTTGTCCCAGTTCCCGCCAACCTAGCAGTTCAAAAGCATGTAAAATGTGAGCAGATAAATAGGTACTACCACAGTGGGAAGGTAACAGTGTTCTGTGTCCTAAGTCGCACTGCCCACGTGACTACAGAAACTGTCTTCGGACAAACGCTGTCTCTATGGCTTGGAAATGGGGATGAGCACCTCCCCCTAGAAGCGGACATGACTGGACAAATTGTCAAGGGGAACCTTACTGCAGGATTTCCTATGGTAATAGTACTGATTGATTTGATGTATTCTCTTTTTTCCTGATCATACAATGCAAAGGCTGATTTGAATTGGACTGGCCCTTGTTGATCCCAACGTCTCTCTCTCTCTCTCTCTCTCTCTTTCTCTCTCTCTCTCTGTGACTAGTGTCTTCTACTTTTCTCAAGCTGGAACCATTCAACTTCACTTTTTCCCATGTCATCAGTTGATGCAGGAAGGATATATGTGGGTAGTGTTTCAATGTCATAGGCACTTGGGGTGTGATGTTCAGGATCATGGGAACATTCACTTCCCCCCACCCCCTATCATCCTCTAATTTTTTTACATTTATATATATATGAGATTAGCACTAGATCACCTTATCACATTTTCACTAGTACTGATATACTAATTTAGCTCTAGATCACCTTCAGAAGAGGAAAAACAAAACACAAAAAATCAAGCAAACTCAGAAACAAACCAGACAAAACAAAAGATTTCCTGTGGTTTCTGATATTTCTGTACATTTTAAAAAGAACTATGGAACACTGCCACCTTTTTCAGAACACTGTACAATCCTTTCAAGACTAAGAGTCTTGACAGCAAATCAAAAAAAGATCGACAGAGGCAGGACCAGGAGAAGGAAGGAAGGAAAGAAAGGGGGGGAGGTTGTGAGCTGGAATGTGGATCACATTACATCAAATGTGAACATTGAACTCCCAAACCAATCTGAAACCCCTGTATAATCACTGACTGCGAATTCAGCTATAATACAAGCTGCCAATCAAATTGCCACAACGCTGAATCAGAGTGATTTGCCTTGCCAGTCTAGTCGCAGCCGAAGAATGTCCATTTCTGTATCCTAATTTTGCTGAGATCTGCACAATTCGCTAGGGAAAAGGGAA